GTTTTGCTCATAAATGTTCAGGAAACCAACACAGACTGTTGTAACCTGCTGTTATATACCCCTATATGGAAAAAGCTTTACTTGCCTGGATTTACTTATTTTTTAAGTTTGTAGACAACCTTGAATTCAAAGCTTTGTTACAACATAAACATGACTGTAGATTACAAGCAATCCTTTCTTTAATTCAAGAGCAGCTTGTATATTCTATCCACAGGATAAAGTACGCACGGAGAGTTACCGAGACTTCATGTACAGCAACCCTGAAGTGTTCAGAGATAAGGTGAGTCATCCAAGCAAATGAAATTGCGTGTGTACACATTAATGTGTGTTTACATGTATGAGTTAGCCAGTTTAATGTTCACTCAAGCCTGTAAACAGGAATGTGCATTTTCCAGAAAAAGACATTAATAATGCGCCGCGGTGTCCGATTTAAAACACATCATGACTTTATTAGCATGTCTAAATATGGACTGCACAGTCCTGATAACAGACACATGCAATCCACCACCAACCCCATAGCACACACCCCCTCTGCACAAACCCTTCCAACTAACCGCCCCACCCCCCCCACCCTATCCGTCTCTTTTCCATTGCTTTTAGCTGTGGGAAGCAGTGGCCTGTATCATGACCATCCATTATATGGGTCGCTGCTGGTTAGTGCTGTGATGAGGCGGTAGAGGGGGGAGGAAGGATGTGTTGATGGGAACGTCCATTATCCCTGTCAGGCTGAAGCAGTCGGCAGAGAGTTGAAGCGTCTCCTTCTTCAGTAACCGGTAACAGAACCAAGCAGGATATTTTTGTTGCAGATCAAGCAAGGAGTTGCGTTCTGTTGTGTTAGCACTATGTTGGCGACCCTCTGTGAACCCATAAAGACAGCAGGATTGTAACCAGGGAGTTTCCTTAAATAGAGACACAGAGTCACACAGTGTTATACATTTGGGGCATGTAGTCGCTGCGTCCATGTCTCAGTCATTTAACTCAGTTGGTGATGAACAAGAACAAATTAAGTGAAAGCAATGGGAACCTGAAATAGAGGTGATTAAAAAATGCAAAGAGCGAAAAAGCTGAGAGAAAATAAGGGTTTAAACAGCAGTTTGAGCAAGTTCTTTAGAACATGCTTAACATGAATTCATTAAGTAATCCAGATGTTGATGCGGTCTTTGAAGTTGAAACAGCAAGACATCAGCGAAAGAAAAAACCCAACTTTTGTTTCTTTGTTTCTTTTTTTAATAATCGTTTGATTAGTAGTAGCCATGTAATGTAATATCAGTTCCTATCTGATTATAGTTTGCCAATAGAAGAGCCTGTGTGACATCATTGTCAAATGTGGTTAAAGTGAGCTCACTTCTGACCACACTGGCCAAAACTGGTGGGTAGTTGTCCTAAAATTCCCTGAAAAGTCTTCTGTTGATCCAAAATGATGCAGTGAGAGTACTGACAGGGACTAGAGAGAGAGAGAGAGCATATTTTGCCCAGGTGAGCATATTACTGCCTTCTCATTATTAGCTCCATGTTAAAAATCCTTCTCCTCACATACAAGGTCTTGAATAATCAGGCCCCATCATATTTTAAAGACCTCATAGTTCCATTTCACCACAATAGAGCATGTTGGTCTCAGAGTGCTGGTTTACTTGTTGTAACGTGGGTATTAAAAAGTAGAATGTGAGGCAGATGTTTCAGCTTTCAGGTCCCTCTTCTGTGAAAGCAGCTGCCAGTTTGAATTCAGGAGACAGACACCTTCTCTACTTTTAAGATTAGGCTTCAAACGTTCCTTTTTGATATAACATTTAGTTCGTTACACTGCTATAGGCCGAGGCTGCTCAGAGTTCTCATGATGCAATGTTTCTTTTCACACTTTAATCATTAGTTATTATTCATCTCTGGCTCTCTTCCACTGCCTGTCTTTTGTCCTGGTCTCCTCCCCTCACCTTCTACTGGTCACAGCAGATGGCCGTCTCCCTGAGCCTGATTCTGCTGGATGTTTCTTCCTGTTAAAAGGGAGTTTTTCCTTCCCACTGTCGCCAAAGTGCTTGCTCATAGGGGGTCATATGATTGCTGGGGTTTTCTCTGTATCTATTTTAAGGGTTTACTGTACAATATAAAGCACCTTGAGGTGACTGTTGTTGTGTTTGGCTCTATATGAACAAAATTGAATTGAAAATTTGATGAGGTTAAATGTTAAAACTGACAGTTTCAATAAGTGAGTGTAAAGTCTTTTGTTAAGTTATTACAGAGCCATAGACTGGACGTGGTTGATTTATCTGTTCCCTGGAAGTGTAGAAAAAAATTCTCAGAAATGTGCAAGTGGCATTGCCAGCAAAATATGGCAGCTGTCATTTTAGCAGTTATTTGGGTTGTCAAAGAAAATCCAAATAAGAATCATGTCTTTATTTCCTCCAGTTATATTTGATTTTTTCTTTTGTAATAACTTGCATAGGCTAGAATCTTTTATCCTTAAAGCTGTAACGTGATCGCGTTTCCCTTCGTGATTTCTGTTGTTATTGTGTTGGATGACCTTTTGGGGTCAGCAGCGCATGGACATGACAAGAATTATGAAGAAATCAATCGTAAACACTGTTAAATGCTCCTGTTTAAGTGTTTGTTTTTGAACCCCTTGACTGTGAAGAGCTTTCCATGTTTGTGGGTAATTTCTCATTTTGACTCCATCGCATCCTTTAGGTGGTGCTTGATGTGGGCTGTGGCACTGGCATATTATCAATGTTTGCTGCACAAGCTGGGGCCAAAAAGGTTATAGCAGTGGATCAGTCTGAAATCATCTACCAGGCCATGGACATAGTCAGGTGAGACTCTTCCTGTGCACTCTGTTTCTGTTCAGCTCCACCAAAACACATGAGCTGTCAGCAGAATTTCCTTTGCGGTGCTCACAGCAATGAAAAATTACATTTTTTACAACTTAAGTGCAAATAGTCAGTCAGTACTAATCAGATTTGGTACAAGCCCCTGTCAGTTGTGTGACCCTCACCTCATATCGGCCCCTGTGGAGCCAAGAGAGTACGCAGATCTTCTCCCTTTTGTGTGCAGCAGAAGATGGTGAGAGTGGAGGTTTGTGTGACCTCCAGCTACCTTTTATTTGTTTCAGCTGGTTGACTTCAATAGAGCTGCTGTCAGCTGCCTGGCCATAATGTACATAATTTACACCTGTGATCTGACTCGTTCACCCCTCTCCTCTGCAGTATCTCCAGTCTGAAGTCTAGAGTCACCCCCAACACTGCCCCAACACACAGAGATACACAGATGAACATGCAGATGAACCCCCTGTTGATTCCCTTTTAATAAAGTCCTCGGTCCAATTTCATGTGCCGCGTGTTTCCTGTATTTCTGCAGCTGATACTCCACAGTGGAGTCCATTTACCTCAACAAGAGCTTCTGCTCTCCTTCCATCTACCTGCAGCCACTATCATACCCCTGCCTCCTAAATGGTTTTTTGAGTTGGGGGCCATTATGACAGCTATTATTTCCGTTATGTAAGACAGTGCAGTATAAGCAAAACAACAGGGTTTTCTAAGGGAAGAGGACGTTTTAATTTTACAGCCCACTGAATAGCTGTTGGAGTGTGTGTTGGCATGCAGGCTGCATTGCAGGTTTGCCAGCGGTGAGGATTCAACTAAAGAAAGATGTTGTACATCCTCCAGCACTCCACCCTTTTTTTTCCTTCTTTTTTTTAAAAAAAAAAAAGCATACATCCACACATGTGCACACACACGTAAATACAGCAATGCATACAAAAATCCACCCATGGCTTCTTTGGGTTGTGATTTTATTTCTGTGTGCGTGTGTGTGTGTATATGCACATAGAGCTGGCCCCTGTGTGTGTCCGTCACTTCCTCCTGATGTTAATATCGGGATTGTAATTAAAGTGGCTCCTGTTGGTTGGGCAGGAGCATCCATCTCCTGTTTCCACTCCATCGCCAAAGTTTAAATGAAAAGCTCTACGTGACTTCCTCCCTTCACAGTCACGTCCTTAATAGATACTGTCTAAATACTTTTAAAAAATGGATGGAATTGATGGATTAGCTGATAAGACATAATTTATTCTGACAATAAAGCGTAAAAATGTGAGACGCTGTTTTTTCTGAGTGAGCAAAGTTAATGGCGGCATGAACTGAAGG